AAGTTTATACCAATAAATGTTTTTGTGATGTTGTTAAGTATATGTGGTTATGTAATGTTTAATATGTAATTTGATATGAGAGAATTTATTAAGACAAGTATTTAAGACTTATTATGATATATTTGTTCTCTAATACCATTGTATTTTATAAACAATTTGTGGTCCACCAATGGTTTTTAATTTTTTTTTCATCACTACTGTGACTAAAAATGACTAATAACATAGTTAATTATTTCGCTCTAGTAACTTGTTTTGTATGAAAAAAATTCCTACCAAATTTGATACAAAACTGATACACATTGCACAAATAATTGGCTAGTAGCTTAAGACTTTTTGTCTCCACTAAAAGGTTTTTGGACGTGTTTCTTGTTCTTATCTACCACTTATGTGACTAAAAATGACTAATAACATGATTAACAATTTCACTTCAATAACTTGTTTTGCAAAAAAAATAAGCTTGTCAGGTTCGACACAAAAGTAGTACATGTTGTACAAATATTAAGTAATAACTTAAGTCTTTTTTTACAATTTTAAAGGACCACTCCACACTAAAGGTTTTTTGGGCCAACAAGTGTTTTTTGTTCTTATCTACCATGAATGTGACTAAATATGACTTATAACATTACTAACTATTTCGCTCAAGATGTTTTGTACAATTTAAGGGACTAGTCTCCACTAAAAGTTTTTTGGACCACCAATTGTTTCTTGTTCTTATCTACCACGAATGTGACTAAAAAACCTAATAACATAATTAATACTTTCACTCCAGTAGCTTGTTTTACAAGAAAACATGTCTATCATGTGTAAAACAAAATTAGTGCACACTACCCAAATAACTGACTAGTAGCTTAAGACTTTTTTCACAATTTTAAGGGTCTAGTATCCACTAAAGGTTTTTTGGACTACCAAGTGTTTCTTGTTCTTATCTACCACAAAAGTAACTAATAACATGGCTAATCATTCACTCTAGTAACTTGTTTTGCAAGAAAACATGCCTTACTAGGTCTAAACAAAAAATTAGTACATGTTAAAAATATAAATGGCTAGAAACTTAAGATTTTTTGTACAATTTTAAAGGACTAGTCTCCCTACACCACCAAGTGTTTTTTGTTTCTTATCTACCGAGTACAAATACTAATAACATGGTTAATTATTTCTCTCTAATAACTTGTTTTGGAAACAAATAGGCCTACCAGGTATGACAAAAAACTGGTACACAATCCACAATTAATTGGCTAGTTACTTAATATTTTTTGTATAATTTTAAGAGATTATGCTACACTAAAGGTTTTTTGACCACCAAGTGTTTCTTGTTCTTATCTACCATAGATGTGACTAAAAATGACTAATAACATTGCTAACTATTTCACTCCAGTAACTTGTTTTGCAAACAAATATTACTACTTTGACATAAAATTGGTATACACAACACAAATAATTGATTAGTTGTTTAAGACATTTTGTACAATTTTAAAATACTTCTCTCCATTAAAAGTTTTTTTAACTAAATGTTTCTTTTTCTTATTTACCATAAATGTGACGAAAAATGACTAATAAGATGGTTAACTATTTCACTCCGATAACTTGTTTTGCAAAAAAATAGGTCTACCAGGTCTGACGCAAAACTGGTACACACTACACAAACAATTGGCTAGCACCTTAAAACTTTTTATACAATTTTAGGATTTTCTTCACAAAAGGTTTTTTGGTCCACCAAGTGTTTCTACTTCTTATCTACTAAGAATGTGACTACAATTTATAGATGACAAGGTTAAGCACCTCCATTCTCAAAATGGTTTACAAGGAAAAAGGCCTACAAGGTATGAAAGAAAACCAGTACTCACTATATAACTAATAAACAACTTAAGGCTATTTATTCTATTTTAAGGAATTTGCATCCAGCAAATGTTGTTTTAGACCCCAATGGCTTATAATTTTTATCTACCACGAATGTGACTAAAAATGACTAATGACATGGTTGACTATTTCACTCTAGTAACTTGTTTTGAAAAATAATGGGCTACCAAGTTTGATACAAAACTGGCACACACTACACCAATAACTGACAAGTAGCTTAAGACTTTTTGTACAATTTTAAAAAACTTCCATCCAATAAAAGTTTTTTCAACTACCAATGATTTGTAGTTGTTATCTACCACAAATGTAGCTACAATTGACAAATAACGAGGTTAAAAACCTTCCATTGGGATATTGCCTTGCATAAAAAGAGGTTTATCACGTCTGATTCATAATTGATACACAGAACACAAATATTTAGCGAGCATGTGAAGACTTTTTATACAACTTGAAACCGATTTTTCTTTAACTATGAAATATAAATCAACAAAAACATAAATTTACATCTTCTACAATTGCATTATTTGTTTGAATAAATAATCATCTAAAAATAGTAAGTTGGAATAAATAAATAAAGTCTTGAAATTTCCTCTGAATATTATCTTGATCTAATACTCAATCACACACATATTTCTCCCTAATTTGTTGTAGTCATTCTTGCACAAAGAAGTATTATTCAATCATACCAAGTTGTAGTAAACTGGAAAAACACAAAAACATAAAAATATTTAACAACGATTAAAAATATTTAATATTGTCCTACCTACAACGGTTTATTCATGTATGTTTTTTCCTATTATTGTTAGTACATCATCCCAACAACTCAATCACTTTAGAACCATGACCCAAGCACCACTCACACAACCAGTTACACTCATACTACAACATTCAAAATAAAAAATGTAGATTTAATGAGCAATACTATGCTAAAAAAATAACATAAATACATTAATATATATTTGAAACATAAATCAACACTTCACCCGATTTGAAATTAAACTTTGTTCAACTACAATACATCAAAGTCACACAGAAATTGATTATCAACATATCCACCAATATTCACAAATAAACAATCACCACGATAACATAGAAATCACCAAATATATCATAATATCATTCCCAATCCAAAACCAACTCTTAAAAGAAATAAAACTTCTTTAATTTAACCTAACCAGAACAAAAAAATTAAAAATATTTATCAACAAATGGAGTCCACTAACAAAGAATGGAACAAAATACAAAACCATAGAACGAAGAAGTCACACCCAAACGATGACCGAGAGGAACTGACAACAAAATGCAACGAAAGCAAATGAATCCACAACAACAAAAAAGGAGGCACACGCAACAAGGAAAAATCTAGAGAAGGCACATAGAAAAAGAAGGCGAGATGCTACAATTTTTTCTAATGCACTCACGCTGTAGTCGCCCATTCAAAAATTTCGAAAGCCAGCTGTCAGCAATCGCAAAAACTAATACTCAAAATTCATTTAAAAAAAAACACATAAACTGTATCTAAGGGTGTGTCAAAATATGGTTTCCATTTTTGTTAACTATATGGCAGGTTAAAGTAATGTATCGGTTGGTACGTGGTGAGAGTGTTAAAGAAGTATGTCAAACATTGTATCATTTCGAAAAATGTGCGTTCATATTATGGAAATTATGCGTAGGCAGAGTGAATAATCAATGCACTGCTTGTAGTAATCATCCAAAACAAACAATAAAGTTGAGAACAATATTATACCGTTTAGTCCTTATCAATGAAAAATAAAGGATTTAATTCCTAGCTATATGTGGAAATTATTTTGTTTGAAGACTGACCTCAAAAGATATTAATCTTTGAATGTTGGCAACAAATACATCGCATTTAATGTTCTGAAGAGGAAAAGGTTGCTCCCAGATTTTCTCTATCATCACTAAATTTGTTCAAGAGGTATTGTTCAAAATTCTCTGATCATCACAACTTCATCAACCAAATAGAAAACGAGTTTGAAGGTGTGGTACTTAAACAAGAGAAAATAAGGACCACGGAATCAACCGAGTTATAATGAAGAAATTATAACTTGGAAAGCTCAGTCCAAAAGTTAATGTTTGTAAAATCCTGTAAAATTGGGATCGTGAATTACTTTAAAATAAGGCAAATTGCGTTCTACTCTCAAGTAATTCAGTTTTGCCTTATTGTTTTTTCAAAACATATGAACACACGACCAGGCAGCCCAGTCTACAAGGAAGAGCAGCCAAGAAGTCAGCAAGGATCAAATGATTCATTCTAAAAGGGGACTTGACAATCATAAACCAGAAAAGAGGATGGGAACCGAATTTTATACTTTGTTTCAAGTCATTTTGTACCTGCATCTTCTATTCCAACAAATAGTTTTACTTGCAAAAATTTCAATTCCCGTTGAAAGGACTAATACTATTCTTAAGTTTTTCCAAATTCAATATCAACTCTCAATCTGAACATAGAAAAAAGAACCACGTCCTAGTCCCAATTCTATGATATGAGTAGGACGAAAACTAGAAAATGAAACAAGTATCGAGAGAAAGGTTTGACTTATTAAAATCATAGATAATACAAGTTATATAGGTTGTTGATACTTTCTGAATTAAAAACAATGATGTTTTTTAAAAACTGTTTCGAACATGTTTAGAAAAGTCACTCGTGAACAGTTAAAACAAAGACCCTTAATTTCACGAGCTTGTAATAATTTTTAAAAACCACTTGCAAAAAACATTTCATTGATAGATTTCATGCCGAAACATAGTAATTGTTTTAGGAAAAATCTTTAAACAAAAAACAAAAGGTGAGATGCATACCAAAGAAGCCCTTAAAAGGAACCTAAAAAGAATATGCAATTCTAGCAGTGCCACGGGTATAAAAATCCGTGAACATATACACCCACCAAGCAGATAGCATGAGTTCAAAAACTCAGAAATTAAAAATTGATTAGGATCCCAACGAGGTCCTCGTAAAACTAAAAACAACCAAAAAGAAAGGCTCCAGAAATGGTAAGGCCTTCGAGACTTCAACGGCAATGGCCATGAAAATCCTGGCGACAGGCAATTAAATCACCGCATGAACCATATGCCCAGCTTGAGATTTCTACGCTAAGAATCCACAATTTATAAGAGAAGCCATAATTGCAGGAAGGGACATGTTCATAACAAGGTATATCATCCCTAAACCATAATATAAAACTAGAGTACTCAAATATGTAATGACAATAATCTGCAAATGTAATTAACGGAAACCCAAACTGGACCCAGTCACTATCTGGCAATTAAAAGCCAAAACTAAACTCAAAATGTTCCAATAATGTTTCAGGGCTCTCAAAACCAGAATTTATCGAAAAGCACTCAATAATGGGTCCAATAATACCCAGTTTTGAAAGTGCATCCTCTCATGCCAGGGTCCAATAATACACTATTCACTAGCTTAGCAAATCCTCCCATGCACCTGCTTGTGTCACAGTCACACTAACCTGTAAGAAATACAAACGTCAGCATCAGCAAAAGCAGCTACAATTCATATTTGAGCTAAAACAAGCAGGCTTATACCACTACATGAATTAATACAAGGTATCCAGAAAAAAAAAAAAACTTATCAATTTTAATAAAATGAGATACAGCAAAAAAAACTTTTATTGGCTTATCACAACGGATTTGTCACCCCTTTATAGAATTAATACCAATTATGAACGTTACTTTTCCGATTAAGGAAATAATTTGCTTCCTGGAAAAGTTGCGCTCCAAAGTATTAGACCATCAAATTTTCATTTTTTTCCACTTTTGTTTACTTCTTAGTTTGGATTTAGAAAATTCGCATCAAATACGGAGAAAACAAAAATCATGTTCACTCACCACTGCTATTAGCCACAATTGTAAACACAATCCCGGTATTTACTACCAATTACCGGCAATAAATTGCCTGATCAATTTGCGGTGGAATCTGCTTTATTTCAGTTCCAAGTTCTTGTTCAATCCTATATCTGAACGAAAGTAGAAATGCATCAGACACTACAGCGAGTATCTCAAAAAATCATTCAAATGTAAATTACATACAAATTAAAGCGATCCTCGTAAGTAATCAAGTTCACTGCCAACCCAAGGTGCCCAAACCTCCCTGAACGACCAACCTATCATCAGCAGAGCACCCTTTAGAACATTTACAGATAACTAGTATCCAAGAAAATGAGTTAAGAGAGGAAGTGACACAAATCATACATACCCTGTGCCAATAAGTCTCTGAGTTCTTGGGGAAAATCAAAATTAATAAAACATTAACTGCCTGAATGTCTATTCCTCTAGTAAAAAGATCTGCAATTGTTTCACATAAAGAAGCATGAAAAACTTCAATCATTACAATATATGTAAAAGCATAATATCTAACCATAAGTTTGATTAAACACAGAAATTAATATACCACGACTTAAGAGCACAACACCAAAAAAATAAAGATTATTCAATTAATGACAACTAAATTTGCTTTTGAGAATAAAACATAATATAATATCCGAAAAAAGAAATCAACCAAAACCTAACAAATGTTGCACATAACCATAACTGGTAGGACAGGTATTCTTCACATGCAACAGAGAAAAATGTGATCATTATTAGGGTTGTGCTACAGTGTCAGTAACATACCAGTACAAACAAGATTTCGACATGCACCATTGCGGAAGTCATGAAACACTCTGTTACGATGGTCTTGCAACATCTTTGCATGAATATAGAAACATGAATACCCAAGTTCTGTGATTTTCTTGGCAAGGAGTTCTACTCGATTCACTGAGTTGCAGAAAATGATAGACTGGTTTATTTGCAGCTGAAATAGAAGACATCAACATCATCAACATATTCACAGGCTGCATATAAGAAAACCAAGAGAACAAATAAAAAGCAAACCTTAGAAAATAGAGTATTTAAGCAATGGACTTTCTGCCTCTCTTCCACAAATGCATAATATTGTGTAATACCCTTCAGAGTTAGCTCATCCATAAGGTTGATGACATAAGGTTTATGAAGATACCTATCTTTGAAATCCTTTACAGTAACAGGAAATGTTGCTGAAAACATCAAGATTTGACGGTTTGAAGGAAGAAAATGAATCAGCTGCTCTATTGAAGGTTGGAACTCTGGGGACAGAAGCTTATCAGCTGACAAATACACAAAGCTATGTATGTAATGCTTCAGATAGATAAGTAACTGTAACCACTAAAAAACATAGACGTTAAAAATACCACAAAAAACGAACATACACAAATGATGGATGAGAAAAATATTTTGTCAATATTTAAAACATAAATGAGAAGATCAATTAACACAAAGGCATTTCCCGTTTACAACCGGTTGACAACACTAGGAGATTAAAAAACTTTAAAAAATGCATGGCACACAGATCATGTGTAAGGACATTCAATATATCAGTTTTCAACTTCCTAAACCTCTTTATATATGAAATATTTACAAACTGTTTATTACTCTCAAAGAAATTTGATAGACAAATGTCATCCAGGTTAAATATATTTACCTCATCCATAACAAGCATAGAGCAATCTTTCTAATACAAACACCTTTTTAGCAAGATCTAAATTCTTCCTGGAGTTCCAACTAGTAAATGAACTGGTGGTATAAGCGCATTTTATATCATCTTTTCAGGCTGGACCACCTGTTGTAACCATAACTTGAATGTTCAAGTGTTTTCCAAGTTCTTTACACACTTGAGAAGTCTGCAAAGCCAGTTCTCGGGTGGGACCAGTATAACAACTGCAGGACATAAAAATTACAGAAAACATTCAGAACGTGTAAAGCCACACCCTCCCCCCCCATCCTCCTGCGTCTTCAAATAGTCAACAACCATTGGAAAGAGCTAAAGATAATGCACAATTAAACCATGATTCAGCAAGGTCACAATCAATAATCACAACTATTTTCAACTATAGCAATAAAATCAAATTGTGTCCTTCATATAAAATAACTTTTCAAGGGAATCAACTTGGCAAAACAGGGTATCCATTAGTTTAGTTGAAATTCCAAAATCTTGTGTTTATAAACATAGATCTTTCGTTAAAACCAGATGTCCAGTAGAAAATAAAGAGAATAGTAATAAAACCTTGAATATGCAGCAGTATCTACATTCTGTCACCAAAGTTAGGAGTCGAGAAGGGAAGGAAAAGGAAACCCAAAGGGGGGGGATTCAAACCTTGAATAACATTATTATCTTGGTCAATTTTTTCCAACGCAGGAATGCAAAATGCAGCAGTTTTGCCAGTTCCATTTTTAGCCCTAGCAAGAATGTCACTACCAGTAAGAGCAATTGGAATGCTTTCTTCTTGGATGGGAGAAGGCCTTTCAAAACCCTTCTCATATATTCCCATGAGCAGCTCACGCTTCAAAAAGTAATCCTCAAATTCATTTCCTTTTGTTGCTGTTACATCCTGGAGAGAAAAAACGAAGCAGATCAAGACTAGCATGTAAATATGAACAAAAGTTAATAAAGACAAACCCCACAAATCATCGTAGATTAAAAGGCCCTGATATGTGATGTAATTATATTTTACTATACCTTTCGATTATAGAAATATAAAGTGAAAAATATCATGTAAAAATCTAATAACATAACAATCAGACTATAACACTTAAGGGTGTATCATAGCCACAGACCTGCACTAGTTACAAGGAAAATAAAACTAAATACATCCTCTCTAACACGAGGAATATAAATGATTTCAAGTAGTTTGTAATTTTTTAAGGTACCCCCCCAATTGTGTTCAGGTAAATAACTGACAGTAAAAAACCAAATGTTTAATAGAGCACAAGGCACTAAGAAAAGACATGAATACATTGATATTGTGCCAGTTACATTCTATGACAATAACGATTTTCATAAATCATTTCTAATATATTAATGTATGAAAAACAGCTCCATACTAACAAGAATATGCAGAAACAAAAAGTAAGAATTAGAAATATCACAACCAAGGTGTTACCAAGGATCTCAAAGATGTGATTCATGCAAAATATACATAACCAATAACTTGAGGTATAACATGATGGTATTTCCATGACCTACCTCAGTTTATAGCGTTGTATCAGCTGAGTGGAATCTTGAGTCTTGCTTTCCAATCTTGTGAGTAACAGGACAAGAGAAAACGGAAGAAAAAAAAGCAATGATGTAACCTGAGAAAACACTTTTCTTTGTGGAATCCTAGCCCCTCAAAAAAAGCCACCTCAGGTCATCTGTAGTAAAAGAAAACAAATCCCACATTGTGATAACCGAGGGGAGACCCAGAAGAGCACCAAAAGAACTCTGGAATGAAGAGACGAACGGGGGGGGGGGAAAGAGGGGGGACAGAAATACATATAAACAATAATACATGTTCGAATATCATTATTAAACTTGTATAAATGTATCGCAGATTATGTCGTTTGATCAATTCTGAGGACAAAACCAATTCAGAACACATTTGAAGTAGAAAGGGCTGTATTCCTTTTTCGTGGGGGGGACCATACATAGGGCTAGGTTGTGCAGTCAGTCACTGTTTTTCTCTAGTAATTTTCAGATTCAATTCCAAAATCACGCCAAAGTTCTCAATAATAAAGTATAGAGACAACATTCGCATTTTGTTGATTATGCGAAAGTAAGTTACGAAAAAAACAAAATGAAAACAAGTATCAAACAAGCATATGAATAAGAAGTACACCAATTGCCTAGAGAAAAAGGAAAGTGCGCGATAACTTCAAGGGCAACAAAATTTGCCCGTAACCAAAGAAAATAGAGAGCAGGGATGGGGCAATGCCGCGGATGATGAGTTGTTCCACTCAAGTAAAAAAATTCAGAGGGTTGACCGCCGAACAGACAATGAATCATGCAAAAACAAAGTAAAAATGGTGAACAATGAAGGTTCTGAAGAACACAGGGCAGAAACATGGAAGAGGGCGGGAAACAAAACTTCGTATCAGATCTGACAGACAAAGGGATCTCTGATCTAGGGACACAATAAAGAAAAGAATACAAGTTCCAGCAATACCATTGTTTATCAATGCATAAGATGCAGGACAGAAAACCAAATAATCCACCGACATAGTGGGCAAAGACCACAACACATTCACGGAGGGGGGGAAAAGAAGCAGACCGACACACAGACACACACAATTAGTTCTGTTAGAAAATAAAATCAAAACATGTTTGCTTGCAAATAAATTGAAATAATTTACTCAAATTTCCATGCCAAAGCCTTGTTGATGAAAATGACAAAGGATAAAGGGAGGTGATGATGTCAACACAACATCCCCACAGCAGCACACAATCACAGTTCCCAAGAATTAACAACACAAGTCGCACTATAGTGGCTTATTTAAAAAGTACAGAACAATGCCCTATGGGTAATAATTCAGGCCACCTTGGAACAGCAAACAACATCCATCAACAAGCAACAGTGCAAAGAAGAGAAGAAGAAGAAGAGAACAACACAAAAAGAAACAAACAAGAAAAAAAAAAAAACACAAAAGATAGTGATAGCACCTCATACTTAACCCTAATTACAAAACAACAAAAATGACGGACAAATAAAAAACATGACAAACACACAAAACTCAGACTACCGGCTCAGACCTGAACGGTCTGCTCGACCCTCAGTCAAGCATGGGTTCTTCCAGCCACTGCTGCTGCTGCTGTGGCGTTGCTTTCAAATGCCATAGCAGTAATGAGGTGTTGATGGTATGACTGGCGAGGCTTGATGAAAAAAACGCCTGATTATGGTTCAGGGCCAGGGTCTGGTTGAGGTTGGGGTTGTGGCCGACGTTCGGATGAAAACCTCCTCGTCCAAGCCCCATTCCGGGAGGGTACCTCGCTCTGTTGTTGTGGTGGTGGTTCATCTTTCGATTCAAAACCAAGAAACTCAAATCTAACCTAAACTACCGAAAAAGAATTTACAAATAACACGAAAAATACGTCTCAATCTGATATCATACAGCAAGAAAGGGTTAGGGTTTGGTCTTGTCCGGTGAAATGAAAATCGGAGCCGAAAGGGTTGGGAATTCCTACAGATCTAGAAAGAAAGAGGGTTTTGTAAGGTTCTTGGTGTTTCAACCCGCAGAGAAAAGAAGAGAGGATTTGTCTTATTTATATCTTGGCTTGGAAGGGTTAAGGTAGAAAGGAAGAGAAGAAGCAAACAAAACACAGAAACTCAGAAAAATAATGAATGCAGAAGATAGAAGACCTACAGGGCAGTATGAGGGGGCGCGGCGGGGGTAGAGGGGAGAGACCAGCGGGGGGGAGGGAGGGGGCAAACGAGAGGTGTAGGGCCCGCGGCGCCGGGGGGAGGAGCCAAAGTGCCCCAGTGCGGTGTCAGACCGGCAAGATTTAGAGTCAATGCAATCTCAAAGAAATATTTTTATTACAAAACAAAATCAGTTGCCATAATAGAAGTAATTATTACTTTAAAAGAAACTAGCTGTGCTTGCCCTTGTAAAAGTTTTGCGATTGTTTCGTGTTATATTAAAAGAGATTTTTATATGAGAGTATATTTATTACCATGTTAAATTGTTAAAAGTGTATTTTGGTTGATACAACAAATGATTTACTTCGCTGTAAAAATGTCTGTAAATTCAAAGGGTATGTTATGAAAGGGGGGCACCAAAAACAAAAAAGGCAGTAGGGGGGAAAAGAGAAGGAGACGGAAGAAAGAGAAGACAGAGAAGGAAAGGTCGGCGAGAAAACAGAGGACAGGCAGGAAGAAAGAGAGGGGAGTTTGAAAGGGACAGGCAAGGGGGTGGGGAAGAGGCGAGCGGGGAAAAAAAGAAAAGAAGAGCAAAAGGATGGCAATGGAGGAAGAGAGTGGGGAAACAAGAAAAAAGCGCGGGAGAGGCAGGAAAAGGCAGGGAGGACGGGCAGAAAAGGGAAACAGATGAATAAAAGGAGGGGAAGGGATAGAGAATGAAAGCTGGCTGGAGGAGAGTGGGGGGAGAGAAGGGGAGAGTGGAGTGGGAGAGGCAGTAGCTGAGGGGAAGAGGGGGAAGAGGAAGATGAAGAGGGAAGAGGAAAATAGGGCAGTCGAGATAATATGATATATAATAG